TATGCAAATATAAAAAAATGCATTGATGGCCGGATATCAGTCTGGAGGAGTGGGTGGGCGTTCCTAGGCAGGTTGTATTTGCATGCAGACCTCCCTAGGTAACGCCCACATGTGATGCTGAGCCTCCATGCTGAAATGCAATAAATGAAAGGGGCGGGGGGACAGGGACAGGCAGGTTGGGGAGAACAGTGACAGATGATGCTGGATGTCCTCCAGCAGGAAATGAGGCAGAGCTCTATCTGACTGGCTGCAGCTTCTAATGCACATTGTAAGAAGCTCACAGTGTGCAGTGAAATCAGAGTAAGCCGTTTCAGTCCAGGAGAGGAGCCGCTACAACTGAAGGGAAGGCTGAGGGTCTGATTTCAGTTATTAAGATGCAAATTTTATGGTCTGCTTGGTCCCTTCTGCAGACTTTTTACATTTTCCAGAAGAAGGGACCTAGCGGCTTCTGAAATTTTCCTTCTTTATTCTTGTAAGTGAGCCAATAAAGGTATCGCCCGAACTTTAGACTTTCCGCAGACGCTGTCGGCCCCGTGCGGTGTACATTGACTTTCTTCTCCTCCCTATTATAACATCTTCTGACCGCAGCTGAGCCGACCGCACACAGAATCCACAGATTCCACCCCCAGCGGCGAGCTCTGCGCACTCTACAACTAGCATGCCCCGGGCGATTGTACCGCATTCACACAGCTCAGGAAGATCGCCAGCAGAGCTCTGGGAGAAGAGAACGGCATTGTGGGTAGAGATGCGGAATATTGCAGAATAACACAATGCTGATAGAAAATGAAGGAAAGCCTTAGGAGCTCCATAACCTGGACTTACTGTAAAGCTGAACTCCAGACAAGCAGGAAAAATACACGGCTCAAAAAAATGAAAGGAAGACTTTGAAAACCCATCAGATCTCAATGGGGACGAATCTCCTGCTGGATCTCTATACTGACATGGACGGGGTAATGTGTTGGGAACGTAAGGACGCCCCATCGTTTGATGGAAATGAAAATGATCGACCTACAGAGGACGGAATTCAAAGACACCCTGAAAATCAAAGTGAAAAAATGATGCAGCAGACTAGTCCATTTGGCTGAAATGTCATTGCAGCAACGCAGAATGGTCCTCAGTAGTTTGTATGGCCCCCACGTGCTTGTATGCATGCCTGACAACGTCGGGGGAGGCTCCTAATGAGACCACGGATGGTGTCCTGGGGGATTTCCTCCCAGATCTGGACCAGGGCATCCCTGAGCTCCTGGACAGTCTGAGGTACAACCTGGTGGCGTTGGATGGACCGAAACATGATATCATTAGGGTGAGAATTTCTAGAGGGATTAAGGATGGAAAAGGATCTGGGGATCCTTATAGATGGCAGACTCCGCAATAACATACAATGCCAAGCTGCAGCAAGCAAGGCCAGCAGACTATTAGCATTAAAAGAGTATTTACTCAAGAGAGAAATCTATAATTCTACCAATCTACAAAACTCTGGTTCGGCCACATCTGGAGTGTGCCGTTCAGTTGTGGTCACCAGTCCTCAGGAAGGATCTGCTGGAATTGAGAGAGTCCAGAGAAGGGCAACAAAACTAATAAGGGGAGAACAAAGGAAGTCCGATCGGCTGCACTCCAAACAATCCACTTTATTGAACCAAGATAAAACCAATACAGTGGAAATACAGTGGGGGACTGGCAGGTAACTGCGTTTCACGCTAAAGACAGCGCTTTTCATTACCATTCATTTGGGGTATTGAGTAAGCACTGTCTTTAGCGTGAAACGCGTTTACCTGCCAGTCCCCCACTGTATTTCCACTGTCTGTATTGGTTTTATCTTGGTTCAATAAAGTGGATTGTTTGGAGTGCAGCCGATCGGACGTCCTTTTTTCTCATCTATGCAGCACACAAGCTGGGCTAGCACCTACAGGAGGAGTTGTGCTTGGAGATTGGGAGTCTCTCTACCTTGAGCAGTGGTAAACAAAACTAATAAGGGGGCTGGAGGACCTCAGTTATGAGGGATGGAGGACCTCGGTTATGGGGGATGAAGGACGTCATTTATGGGAGCTGGAGGACCTCCATTATGGGAACTTGAGAACCTAAGTTATGGAGGATGGAGGACCTCAGTTATGGGGGATGGAGGACCTCATTTATGGGAGCTGGATTACCTCAGTTATGGAGGACCTCAGTTATGGAAGATGAAGGATCTCAGTTATGGGGGCTAGAGGACCTCATTTATTGGAGCTGGAGGACCTCAGTTATGGGTAAGGGGACCTCAGTTGTGGGGCAGGAAGGACCTCAGTTATGGGGGCTGGAGGACTTCATTTATGGGGATGGAGTACCTCAGTTATGGGGGGATGGAGGACCTAATTTAAGTGAGCTGGAGGACCTCAGTTATGGGAGCTGGATGACCTTATTTATGGGAGCTGGAGGACCTCATTTATGGAGAATGGAGAACCTCAGTTATGAGGATGGAGGACCTCAGTTATGAGGATGGAGGACCTTAGTTATGGGGGATGGAGGATCTCATTTATGGGAGCTAGAGGAACACAGTTATGGGAGGATGGAGGAACCCAGTTATGGAGGATGGAGCACGTCAGTTATGGGGGATGGAGGACCTCAGTTATGGGGCCTGGAGGACCGCAGTTTTGAGGAGCGACTACAAACATTAAACTTATTCTCCCCGGAGAAGACATGCTTAAGAGAAGATATGATCCCAACATACAAATCTACTAATGCTGAGTGCTGGGAAAAACTATTTAACCCAAGGTCTCTGAAGAACACACATGGCAACACGATGAAGTAGAAAGAGAAATGTTTCAGTCTTACATTGTGTAAGTAGGTCTTCACTGTGAAAGATAAAGATGTAGAACTCCACACTTAGTGGCATCACCAAAGCGTCAACACATGCATTAAGATGCATGTAAGCGCACAGCATGAGCGTGTATTATAAAGCATTATGATGTGTGTTGTTAAGCACTTGTTAAGACATGTAACAATGCACATTTCCTTTTTTTCCCAATGGAAAACACAACAGGAGAAGCAATGTATAGGCGTCAGTAGGCCCTAGGGGCCCATTCTTGAATATGAATAAACATATTTAAGATAACTCAGTTACTGCGACTCGAATCACTGTAACTGATTATACTGTGGAAACAGCAACACCCGAAAAAAAGATGTTGACACAATTAAGGCCATGACAGGACTAGGGGTGGTAGGATGGGGAGCTCTCTGGAGGGGGGAGAACATCTGACACCTGAAGTGTCTTCCTTCCCCTTCCCCTTTTTATAGTCTCGAAGGTGGGTCCCCACATGTTCTTCAGCAGCATGGGGCACATGGTACTACTACACCTGTGGAACGGATGTATGAATGTTCCACTTCCAGTAAGTTAATCAAAACAGGAGGGCCAACACCAGTCCCATGACAGGAGCACCACAGCAAGTCCGCCTTCACATTCTCTTCTTGCAGTGGTTTTCATATAGCAAATCTATCATATGAAAAAGAAAAATGCATACAGATACATAATATGGGATTACATCAAGAGTCCAGTCCAAAGGTGGCATTTTGAAACAGCTCAACTCTCTTCATACAGCCAAGCAAATGATCTGAGTCTAGAATTCCTCAAGCCCGTGCGGTGGATTGTATGTTCTCCTTCTGATGTCTTTCACCCTTTGAACACCATGCGTAAAAATCAATCACACTCAAAGATAAACAGTCCCCATGCCAAAGACAGCTGCCTCTCACTCTCAGAACTTCAAGAGTAAAAATCAATCACACTCATGGAGATTAAAGACCCCCCTACCACAGGCTACTGCCTCTCATTCTCTGAACTCCAAGTGTAAAAATCAATCACATATTAGCAGTCCCTCTTCCACAGTCTGCTGCCTCTTAGTCTGTGACACCCCAGTGTAAAAAACAATCTCACTTACAGCAATTAACAATCTCCCTTCCACAAGCAGTTGCCTCCCATTCTCTGAACTACCAGTGTAAAAATCAATCGCACTTACAGTGTTAAATGTAGAATTATAGCCAAAACCTTTTTTTCATTTCCTTTTTTTCATGTCCATTTTTGGAGATTTCCTTCTCTTCCTGTCCCATAGCCAAACAGAAAGTGAGAGGAAATCCCTGCAAATTACGGGAATTCCTTAGAGACCCCCAAGTCACCAGAACTAGTGTCCCCATTAGAAGATTACCCCTCTATTACTTTTCTGGCGATAACCCAAAATTTGGGATTTCTTTACTTGCAATTAGAGATGAGCGAAGTATTCAAAAATTCGATTCGGCTGATTCGGCGAATTCGAGGAATAAATTCGATTCGAGGCGAATATATTCGCTGCGAATTTAACTTTAAAAAGGGTGTTTCTAGGCTTCAGAGAGCCTTTATATTAGTGCAGAACACTGTACCTTTAATTTAAATGCCCTTGGAGTCTGCTGGGGAAGAGAAATAATACTGTCAGTCAGTATGACATGCAGATGAGTGCCGTCCATCTTAGAATCACCGCACACTTCACTCATTTGGGCAGTCACGGGGCCAAAACCAGAGTGTGGAGCCACAGTGTGGCGGTGGAGGCAGCAGCAATGGGAGGCCATACAGCACCCTATGACAAAATGGAACCCACCAGCAGTGTAAGGAGACCTGAAAGTGGCACATGGCAGAGTGTGGCGATGGAGACAGCAGCAATGGGAGGCAGTACAGGGGCCCATGACAGATTACGGGCCTGGCAGCAGCATGAGGAGTCGGTACGGGGGCCCATGGCAGATTACGGGCCTGGCAGCAGCAATGGGAGGCCCGTAATCTGCCAGCACCCTATGACTAAATGGAACCCACCAGCAGTGTGAGGAGACCTGAAAGTGGCACATGGCAGAGTGTGTGGCGATGGAGACAGCAGCAATGGGAGGCCGTACAGGGACCCATGAGACACTCTGGACCTGGCAGCAGCATGAGGAAGTGGTACGGGGGCCCATGGCAGATTACGGGCCTGGCAGCAGCAATGGGAGGCCCGTAATCTGCCAGCACCCTATGACAAAATGGAACCCACCAGCAGTGTGAGGAGACCTGAAAGTGGCACATGGCAGAGTGTGGCGATGGAGACAGCAGCAATGGGAGGCCGTACAGGGACCCATGACACACTCTGGACCTGGCAGCAGCATGAGGAGGCGGTACGGGTAGTTAGAGGGGCCCATGGCAGATTACGGGCCTGGCAGCAGCAATGGGAGGCCCGTAATCTGCCAGCACCCTATGACAAAATGGAACCCACCAGCAGTGTGAGGAGACCTGAAAGTGGCAAATGGCAGAGTGTGGCGATGGAGACAGCAGCAATGGGATGCCGTAAAGGGACCCATGAGACACTCTGGACCTGGCAGCAGCATGAGGAGGCGGTACAGGGGCCCATGGCAGATTACGGGCCTGGCAGCAGCAATGGGAGGCCCGTAATCTGCCAGCACCCTATGACAAAATGGAACCCCAGCAGTGTGACCAGCAGTGTGGAGGAGACCTGAAAGTGGCACTCTGGATGGCAGAGTGTGGCGATGGAGGGGCCCATGGGCACAGCAGCAATGGGAGGCCGGAATACAGGGACCCACAGCAGTGTGAGGAGACCACTGGATGGAGACCTGGCAGCAGCATGAGACACTTGGGAGGCAGCATGGTACGGCGGTTACAGGGGCCCATGGCAGATTACGGGCCTGGCAGCAGCAATGGGAGGCCCGTAATCTGCCAGCACCTATGACAAAATGGAACCCACCAGCAGTGTGAGGAGACCTGAAAGTGGCACATGGCAGAGTGTGGCGATGGAGACAGCAGCAATGGGAGGCCGTACAGGGACCCATGAGACACTCTGGACCTGGCAGCAGCATGAGGAGGCGGTACAGGGGCCCATGGCAGATTACGGGCCTGGCAGCAGCAATGGGAGGCCCGTAATCTGCCAGCACCCTATGACAAAATGGAAACCCACCAGCAGTGTGAGGGAGACCTGAAAGTGGCACATGGCAGAGTGTGGCGATGGAGACAGCAGCAGCATGGGAGGCCGTACAGGGACCCATGACACACTCTGGACCTGGCAGCAGCAAGAGGAGGCGGTACAGGGGCCCATGGCAGATTACGAAGCCTAAGCAGCTTAAATTGAAAGGCCATACAGAGGCCTATGTTAAAAATAATAACATGTTTGGGGCATGAATTCATGGCGGATTTAGTCAGTTGTGTCAGGAACTGGTGGTTTGAAATCCAGACTAATCCACGCCTGACTCATTTTCACAAACGTGAGTCTCTCCACACTTTGGGTGGACAGTCGTGTCCTCCGCGGAGGACAATACCTCCTGCCACACTAAACACGCGCTCCGATGCCCGCTACTGACCGGGCATGACAGCCTTTCAAAGGGCAAATTCAGCTAGTTGGGGCCCAAAGGTCAAGTTTCGTTGCCCAGTAGTCAAGGGGATTGTCTACCTCGTTGGCAGGGTGCTGTCCAAGTAGGCCCAAAGCCTGTTGTTTGAGGTCCTGCTCCAGGTCCAATGGGATGCTGCCCGTGCTGCTGCCTGGTTAGTAGTTTCCCTCACTGCGCTGGTGAAGGAAAGCTACTCATCATCGACTGCAGACTGAGGCAGCCTGCTGCTGGTGGAGCTGCCACTGCTCCTGGCCACCCCACCCCTCCCCTGCTGCCATGGCAACGGAACGCGAGCGCACAGGGCCCCGGTAGTGTCTGAGGAATGGACGTTGGCGCAGAAAGGCAGAGACCAACTGACTAAATAGGTGGGATTTTATAGTACGTTATTTTGGCCTCCCTCTCAGCAGGTGTGAAAAAGGCCACCATTTTTGAACGGTAGTGAGGGTCCAACAAGGTGGAGAGCCAAAAAATCATCCCTCTGTCTGATGGTTATTATTCGGCTGTCGCTACGCAAGCAACCGAGCATGCTATGGGCCATTTGTGCCAAGGAATGCGAGGGACTCCCTGCCTCCATCTCCACAGCATACTGCCACGGTGCGTCTGGGTCCTCTGTCTCCTCCTCTCCTCTCTACCAGATGCTCCTGCTCCTCCACTCCTGTCCGCTGAGTGGCAAAACACCCAGTTCACTCAATAATTCCTGAGCACCAATGTCCTCCTCTACCTCCTTCTCTTCTTCCTGTCCTGCCCCCACAGGGGTCATGTGGCGTTGAGATCTGTGCGCCACGTCTACCGCACCCTGACCAGCCATTGTTAACAGCATTTGTTCCAGGACGTGCAACAGAGGAATGACGTCGTTCATCCCATAGTCCTGCCACCCCACCCCTCGCCGACTCAGAATAGCGTGGCCTCCTCAAAGGGCTGAGCAAGCGGCAGGTGTCACGCATGAGCTGCCAATGGCTGACATCTAAGTTACACAGGGGAGTACCTTTATCCGCTTGTAACATCAGGAAATCGGTGATGGCCTTTCGCTGTTCGTAAAGGCGGTTAACATATGTAGGGTTGAATTCCACCTTGTTGCAACGTCACAGCATGAGGAGTCGGTACGGGGGCCCATGGCAGATTACAGGCCTGGCAGCAGCAATGGGAGGCCCGTAATCTGCCAGCACCCTATGACAAAAATGGAACCCACCAGCAGTGTGAGGAGACCTGAAAGTGGCACATGGCAGAGTGTGGCGATGGAGACAGCAGCAATGGCAGGCCGTACAGGGACCCATGAGACACTCTGGACCTGGCAGCAGCATGAGGCGGTTAGGGTACGGGGGCCCATGGCAGATTACGGGCCTGGCAGCAGCAATGGGAGGCCCGTAATCTGCCAGCACCTATGACAAAATGGAACCCACCAGCAGTGTGAGGAGACTGAAAGTGGCAAATGGCAGAGTGTGGCGATGGAGACAGCAGCAATGGAGGCCGTACAGGGACCCATGACAGATTACGGGCCTGGCAGCAGCATGAGGAGGCGGTACAGGGGCCCATGACAGATTACAGGCCTTGCAGCAGCAATGGGAGGCCCGTAATCTGCCAGCACCCTATGACAAAATGGAACTCACCAGCAGTGTGAGGAGACCTGACAGTGGCACATGGCAGAGTGTGGCGATGGAGACAGCAGCAATGGGAGGCACGTACAGGGACCCATGAGACACTCTGGACCTGGCAGCAGCATGAGGAGGTGGTACGGGGCCCATGGCAGATTACGGGCCAGGCAGCAGCAATGGGAGGCCCCCCCCCCCCCCCCCCCGTAATCTGCCAGCACCCTATGACAAAATGGAAAACCAACAGCAGTGTGAGGAGACCTGAAAAGTGGCACGCATGGCAGAGTGTGGCGATGGAGACAGCAGCAATGGGAGGCCGTACAGGGACCCATGAGACACTCTGGACCTGGCAGCAGCATGAGGAGTCGGTACGGGGGCCCATGGCAGATTACGGGCCTGGCAGCAGCAATGGGAGGCCCGTAATCTGCCAGCACCCTATGACAAAATGGAACCCACCAGCAGTGTGAGGAGAGACCTGAAAGTGGCACATGGCAGAGTGTGGCGATGGAGACAGCAGCAATGGGAGGCCGTACAGGGACCCCATGACAGATTACGGGCCTGGCAGCAGCATGAGGAGGCGGTACGGGGGCCCATGGCAGATTACGGGCCTGGCAGCAGCAATGGGAGGCCCGTAATCTGCAGCACCCTATGACAAAATGGAAACCAACAGCAGTGTGAGGAGACTGAAAGTGGCACATGGCAGAGTGTGGCGATGGAGACAGCAGCAATGGGAGGCCCGTTACAGGGGACCCATGACAGATTACGGCCTGGCAGCAGCATGAGGAGGCGGTACGGGGGCCCATGACAGATTACGGGCCTGGCAGGAGGCAGCAATGGGAGGCCCGTAATCTGCCAGCACCCTATGACAAAATGGAACCCACCAGAAGTGTGAGGAGACCTGAAAGTGGCACATGGCAGAGTGTGGCGATGGAGACAGCAGCAATGGGAGGCTGTACAGGGACCCCATGAGACACTCTGGACCTGGCAGCAGCATGAGGAGGCGGTACGGGGGCCCATGGCAGATTACGGGCCTGGCAGCAGCAATGGGAGGCCCGTAATCTGCCAGCACCCTATGACAAAATGGAAACCAACAGCAGTGTGAGGAGACCTGAAAAGTGGCACATGGCAGGCGTGTGGAGGATGGAGACAGCAGCAATGGGAAGGCCGTACAGGGACCCATGACAGATTACGGGCCTGGCAGCAGAAGCCATGAGGAGGGCGGTACAGGGGCCCTTGACAGATTACGGGCCTGGCAGCAGCAATGGGAGGCCCGTAATCATCTGCCAGCACCCTATGACAAAATGGAAACCAACAGCAGTGTGAGGAGACCTGAAAGTGGCACATGGCAGAGTGTGGCGATGGAGACAGCAGCAATGGGAGGCCTCGTACAGGGACCCATGACAGATTACGGGGCCTGGCAGCAGCATGAGGAGGCGGTACAGGGGCCCTTGACAGATTACGGGCCTGGCAGCAGCAATGGGAGGCCTGTAATCTGCCAGCACCCTATGACAAAAATGGAACCCACCAGCAGTGTGAGGAGACCTGAAAGTGGCACATGGCAGAGTGTGGCGATGGAGACAGCAGCAATGGGAGGCCGTACAGGGACCCATGAGACACTCTGGACCTGGCAGCAGCATGAGGAGTCGGTACGGGGGCCCATGGCAGATTACGGGCCTGGCAGCAGCAATGGGAGGCCCGTAATCTGCCAGCACCCTATGACAAAATGGAACCCACAGCAGTGTGAGGAGACCTGAAAGTGGCACATGGCAGAGTGTGGCGATGGAGACATGGGCCCCCTGGCCACGCTTGACTTTCTGGCCACATAGTCGACATACGGCTACGTTTACTTCCTCGGGCGGCTTGACGAAAAATTGCCACACCGCCGAGTAGGAAACTTTGCCCCGCTACTCCTCACTGGCTGACTGCTGCTTCCTCCGTGCACACCGGCACCACTACTGGCCGTGGTGGTAGGCTGCAGTGGAGCTGGTGCTCTACTCCGTGGCCGTTTGCCTCCACTGACACTGCTGCGACCCTGCTGCCTCCTGGGCAACCCACCGACTGTTTTGCTCGCTGCCAAGCTGGCACCCTCTTCTCCTGATGATGCGGAAGCAATAGCCTGATGACGACGAGGCTGCCAAGTGCGATCAGCCTCATCATCATCAATTAGGGTCTCCGCCTCACTACTAGCCCCCTCGGCTGCGTGTGGGTCAGGAGACAGACCTGTCTCTAGACCGGCTACCGAGCCACTCTCCTCGCCAGTACTTCTTCGCCTGGCTGCTGAAGAGGCGGATGTCTCCCCCCGTTCCTGACCGCCCTCTGTTTGCTCTTCCTCACTGTACAGTGGGGGCTGAGCCCACAGCATGCGATACTTTGCTTGGTGAGGGAACACCAAAGGACAGGGGCAGGTAGAGGACACGTGATTTCAGTGGGCTTGGTCCCGGCCATGCCAACTAACGGTTGTGTCTGACGTACCCACCGATCGTTGGCTGTAGGTGTCAGAGGTGACCTGGGAAGAGGAAGACGACCGAGCCAACCAATCGATGACGGCAGGGTTGTCGGTGGAGACACGACCGCTGGATGACACCGGGAGCACTGGCCTCTGGCTGCGACTAGTGCTGCCTCGACCCCTTCCTCTGCTGCCACGTCTGCTCGCTCCTGAAACATTGCCTCCTCTGCCACTCCTCTGCGTGTTGTCTGACATACTCTTTAATTCAACGATTCTGTGTCCCTGAGTAACGATAACAATCTGTGTCTGTCCCTGAGTAACAATTCTGTGTCCTAAGTAACGATTCTGTGTCCCTCAGTAACAATTCTGTGTCTGTCCCTGAGTAACAATTCTGTGTCCCTCAGTAACAATTCTGTGTCCCTCAGTAACAATTCTGTGTCTGTCCCTGAGTAACAATTCTGTGTCCCTCAGTAACAATTCTGTGTCCCTCAGTAACAATTCTGTGTCTGTCCCTGAGTAACAATTCTGTGTCCCTGAGTAACAGTTCTGTGTCCCTGAGTAACAATTCTGTGTCCCTCAGTAACAATTCTGTGTCCCTCAGTAACAATTCTGTGTCTGTCCCTGAGTAACAATTCTGTGTCCCTGAGTAAACAGTTCTGTGTCCCTGAGTAACAATTCTGTGTCCCTCAGTAACAATTCTGTGTCCCTCAGTAACAATTCTGTGTCTGTCCCTGAGTAACATTTCTGTGTCCCTGAGTAACAGTTCTGTGTCCCTGAGTAACAATTCTGTGTCCCTCAGTAACAATTCTGTGTCCCTCAGTAACAATTCTGTGTCTGTCCCTGAGTAACAATTCTGTGTCCCTGAGTAACAGTTCTGTGTCCCTGAGTAACAATTCTGTGTCCCTCAGTAACAATTCTGTGTCCCTCAGTAACAATTCTGTGTCTGTCCCTGAGTAACAGTTCTGTGTCCCTGAGTAACAATTCTGTGTCCCTCAGTAACAATTCTGTGTCCCTCAGTAACAAATCTGTGTCCCTCAGTAACAATTCTGTGTCCCTCAGTAACAATTCTGTGTCTGTCCCTGAGTAACAATTCTGTGTCCCTGAGTAACAGTTCTGTGTCCCTGAGTAACAATTCTGTGTCCCTGAGTAACAATTCTGTGTCCCTAAGTAACGATTCTGTGTCCCTAAAGTATCTGTGGCCCTAACTCTGTCCCTAATACAGAGAGGTCTGTCTCTCTTGAATGACCGGAGGCAAATGGAGAATTGTAAGATGGCCGCAATTTATAGCTCCACCATTACACAGTGCTGCTGGCTGGCTGCTGATTGGCTAATGCGATCACATGTCATGAATGAATGCATTATGGGTCAGCGCGCCTTGTCTGTGCGCCTTCCCAGAGATCCCCGCTCCGTCGCCACACATGTCGCCGCCATTTTTGGAAAAATTTCGATTCGCGCATCCGAAGTCTGCTAATTTTCGGAATCGAATTTTTCCTAATATTCGAAACGAATTCCACTTCGCCAAGTTCAATTCGCTCATCTCTACTTGCAATGATAATGGTAAACAGAACAAATAGAGAGGGTGAATCTCCGTAAAAGGGGCACAGACAGCAGTTTCGCATTTAGTTATACTTTAATTGCCCCCCTTCCTGACAGACAGCTGCCTCACTCTCTGAAATCCCAGAGTAAAAATCAATCGCACTTACAGAGATTAATAGTCCCTCTTCCACAGTCTGCTGCCTCTCAATCTGTGAAACCCCAGTGTAAAAATCAATCACACTCATGGAGATTAACAGTCCCCTTCACATGCTGCTGCGTCTTATTCTCTGACCTCTCAGTGTAAAAATCAGTCGCACTTGCAGAGATTAATAATCCCTTTTCCACAGTCTGCTGCCTCTCAATCTCTGAAACCCCAGTGTAAAAATCAAGCACACTCATGGAGATTAACGGCCCCCTTCACATGCTGCTGCCTTTTATTCTCTGACCTCTCAGTGTAAAAATCAATCGCACTAACAGAGATAAATAGTCCCTCTTCCGCAGTCTGCTGCCGCTCAATCTCTGAAACCCCAGTGTAAAAATCAATCACACTCATGGAGATTAACAGTCCCCTTCACATGCTGCTGCGTCTTATTCTCTGACCTCTCAGTGTAAAAATCAGTCGCACTTGCAGAGATTAATAATCCCTTTTCCACAGTCTGCTGCCTCTCAATCTGTAAAACCCAGTGTAAAAATCAATCACACTCATGGAGATTAACAGTCCTTTTCACATGCTGCTGCCTCTTATTCTCTGACCTCGCAGTGTAAAAATCAATCGCACTAACAGAGATAAATAGTCCCTCTTCCGCAGTCTGCTGCCACTTAATCTCTGAAACCCCAGTGTAAAAATCAATCGCACTTACAGAAATTAACAACCCCCTTCAAATGCTGCTGCCTCTTATTCTCTGACCTCTCAGTGTAAAAATCAATCACACTCACAGAGATTAATAGTCTCCTAGACAGTCTGCTGCCGCTCAATCTCTGAAACCCCAGTGTAAAAATCAATCGCACTTAAAGAGATTAACAGCCCCCTTCACATGCTGCTGCCTCTTATTCTCTGACCTCTCAGTGTACAAATCAATCACACTCACAGAGATTAACAGTCTCCTAGACAGGCTGCTGTTTCTCACTCTCTGAACTCTCGGTGTAAAAATCAACAACAGTCATGAGTCCCCCTTCACTCTCTGACCAGTGGAAATGAGTACAATTGAGAGTGTTTGTTTATTTTCCCCAAATTTTGGAGATTTTGGCAACATTTTTCCACCTTGAATTACAGCCAATGGGAGGGGAAAGGCAGCTTTTGGTGATTTTAAAGGACATTAAGGACAGTTTTAAATACCCCCCTAAGAGTCCACTCAGACGTCGGCGTCCTGGTGCGTTGCGTCAGCACACTCGTCTGTTAACATGCGTTGCAGTAAAACATAAATAGTCCTGGCAATAATACCAAATGTCCGAGACAACAGACCTGCGCCGTTTTTGCCAATTCAAAAAAGTAGTGCGTTGTGGTGCGTTGTGGTGCGTTGTGGTGCATTGTGGTGCGTTGTGGTGCGCTGCAATGTGCGTGCGATGGAACTGCGCTGCCTTAGTCCATTGGTTTTCCATTCAAAATATCGTCCGTGTTATCGGCAAGCAAAAAAGTGCGCTTAGGGACCCCAGTAAAATAAATCCATCAGTTACGTATTGCAGCAAAAGTTGCATCTTTAACCCCTTCACACCTGAGGGTAAAACAAATGTTAATGCCTGAGCACAATTTGGCAACTTTGACATTTGTTAGTAAAAATATACATATCATCACAACTACTTTGTGCATCCAGGTGGATTATACCGCGTTTTTTTCAGGGCACATTGGGCTTTCATTTGGTGGTAAAATGGATATTATTTCCTGATTTTTTTATTATTAAAGGAAAACTGGCCCAAAAAAGTAAAAAAAAAAAATTACCGTATTTTCTGGCGTATAAGACGACCCCCTACTTTTCCTGTTAAAATATAGGGTTTGAGCTATACTCGCCGTATAAGACTACCCCTCTTCCAACACACACCAAATATAAAAATGAAAAAACATCAGATTTGATTTCAATATGGTATGGTATTTCAGTATGGTATTCCAATGATGGGGCACTATTCCTCCCACTGACACCAATGATGGGGCACTATTCCTCCCACTGACACCAATGATGGGGCACTATTCCTCCCACTGACACCAATGATGGGGCACTATTCCTCCCACTGACACCAATGATGGGGCACTATTCCTCCCACTGACACCAATGATGGGGCACTATTCCTCCCACTGATACCAATGATGGGGCACTATTCCTCCCACTGATACCAATGATGGGGCACTATTCCTCCCACTGACACCAATGATGGGGCACTATTCCTCCCACTGACACCAATGATGGGGCACTATTCCTCCCACTGACACCAATGATGGGGCACTATTCCTCCCACTGACACCAATGATGGGGCACTATTCCTCCCACTGATACCAATGATGGGCACTATTCCTCCCACTGACACCAATGATGGGACACTATTCCTCCCACTGATACCAATGATGGGACACTATTCCTCCCACTGACACCAATGATGGTGCCCCATCATTAGTGTCATTGTGTGAGGAATAGTGCCCCATCATTAGTCAGTGGGAGGAATAGTGCCCCATCATTGGTGTCAGTGGGGAGAATAGTGCCCCATCATTGGTGTCAGTGGGAAGAATAGTGCCCCATCATTGGTGTCAGTGGGGAGAATAGTGCCCCATCATTGGTGTCAGTGGGAGGAATAGTGCCCCATCATTGGTGTCAGTGGGGAGAATAGTGCCCCATCGTTGGTATCAGTGGGAGGAATAGTGCCCCATCATTGGTGTCAGTGGGAGGAATAGTGCCCCATCATTGGTATCAGTGGGAGGAATAGTGCTCCATCATTGGTGTCAGTGGGGGAGGAATAGTGCCCCATCATTGGTATCAGTGGGGAGAACAGTGCCTCATCGTTGGTGTCAGTGGGGGAGGAACAGTGCCTCATCGTTGGTGTCAGTGGGGAGAACAGTGCCTCATCGTTGGTGTCAGTGGAGGAGGAATAGTGCCCAATCGTTAGTGTCAGTGGGGGAGAGGAGCGGCTGCTCCTTCTTCCAGTGCGGCCGCTCGATTTTCGCGGGGCCGCTCGGCTCCGCCTCCTCGCCGGTGATTGGTCGCCTGTGTGCCTTTCCTGTGCTGGCGCCCAATCACCGGTGAGGAGGCGGAGCCGAGCGGCCGCGTGACCATCGAGCGGCCAAACTGAAAGAAGGAGCAGCCGCGCTTCCTGGACCGGATCGTCGTGGGACCGGAGCCAGGTAAGGTACAGCAGCCCCTCTGTCCACCCCTGTACTTAGTGTCCGCTGGAGGAGGAGGGGAGGCGGCACCGCGCCGCCCCTCGAAAAAGTGCCGCCCTGACACCGGCTCACACCGGCTCGCACCGGCGTATAAGACGACCCCCGACTTTTCAGAAGATTTTCAGGGGTTGAAAAGTCGTCTTATACACCGGAAAATATGGTAATTTGTTTTTATTTAGCTGTGTGTTTCTTGTTACTACCATAACCTACCAGCAAAGGACAACCCAAAATACATTTTCCAGCTCCTGACGATCGCAGCGATACCGTATATGTGTGTTATTTGTTGTTTGTACCCGGAGTACAGCCCAGAAACAATGGTGCACATTTTGTTTTTGTCTTTTTTTGTCCGGATATAGTGAATGCAGGGTCCGGGGAGACCAGGTATAGTGAATGCAGGGTCCGGGAGAGCGGATATAGTGAATGCAGGGTCCGGGGAGAGCGGATATAGTGAATGCGGGGTCCGGGGAGACCAGGTATAGTGAATGCAGGGTCCGGGGAGAGCGGATATAGTGAATGCAGGGTCCGGGGAGACCGGATATAGTGAATGCAGGGTCCGGGGAGAGCAGATATAGTGAATGCAGGGGGTCCGGGGAGACCAGATATAGTGAATGCGGGGTCCGGGGAGACCAGGTATAGTGAATGCGGGGTCCAGGGAGACCGGATATAGTGAATGCGGGGTCCGGGGAGAGCGGATATAGTGAATGCGGGGTCCGGGGAGAGCGGATATAGTGAATGCGGGGTCCGGGGAGAACGGATATAGTGAATGCGGGGTCCGGGGAGAGCGGATATAGTGAATGCGGGGTCCGGGGAGAGCGGATATAGTGAATGCGGGGTCCGGGGAGAGCGGATATAGTGAATGCGGGGTCCGGGGAGAGCGGATATAGTGAATGCGGGGTCCGGGGAGAGCGGATATAGTGAATGCGGGGTCCGGGGAGAGCGGATATAGTGAATGCGGGGTCCGGGGAGAGCGGATACAGTGAATGCGGGGTACGGGGAGAGCGGATATAGTGAATGCGGGGTACGGGGAGAGCGGATATAGTGAACGCGGGGTCCGGGGAGACTAGATATAGTGAACGCGGGGTCCGGGGAGACTAGATATAGTGAACGCAGGGTCCGGGGAGACTAGATATAGTGAATGCAGGGTTCGGGGAGACTGGATATAGTGAATGCGGGGTATGGGGAGAGCGGATATAGTGAATGCGGGGTCCGGGGAGAGCGGATATAGTGAACACGGGGTCCGGGGGAGAGTAGATATAGTGAACGCGGGGTCCGGGGAGACTAGATATAGTGAATGCAGGGTCCGGGGAGAGCGGATATAGTGAATGTAGAGTCCGAGGAGAGCGGATATAGTGAATGTAGAGTCCGAGGAGAGCGGATATAGAGAATGCAGGGTCTGGGGTTTCGTACCACTTCAATATACACTTATTGGGATTTTTTTTACCTCTGTTTTTTAACAGAAAATAGAAAATATCTTTTTTTTCCCCAAAATTGTCAGTCTTTTTTTATTTATATAATAAAAAAATAAAAAAAGTAGTGATCAAATACCACCAAAAGGCACTATTTGTGTGAAAAAAATGATATAAATGTCACTTGGGTACGGTGTTGCATGACCACTCAATTACCAGTTAAAGTAGTGCATTGCCAAATAGAAAAAAAATGTCCCGATCACAAAGGGGGCAAAATTTCCCCAGGGCTTAAAGCGTTACTAAACCCCGGACCCTGCATTCACTATATCCGGTCACCCCGGACCCCGCATTCACTATATCCGCTCTCCCCGACCCCGCATTCACTATATCCGCTCTCCCCGGACCCTGCATTCGCTATATCCGCTCTCCTTGGACCCTGCATTCACTATATCCGCTCTCCCCGGACCCTGCATTCATTATATCCGCTCTCCTTGGACCCCGCATTCACTATATCCGCTCTCCTTGGACCCCGCATTCACTATATCCGCTCTCCCTGGACCCCGCATTCACTATATCCGCTCTCCCCCGGACCCCGCATTCACTATATCCGCTCTCCCCGACCCTGCATTCACTATATCCACTCTCCCCGGACCCTGCATTCACTATATCTGCTCTCCCCGGACCCTTCATTCACTATATCCGCTCTCCCCGGACCCTTCATTCACTATATCCGCTCTCCCCGGACCCTGCATTCACTATATCCGCTCTCCCCGGACCCTGCATTCACTATATCCGCTCTCCCCGGACCCCGCATTCACTATATCCGCTCTCCGTGGACCCTGCATTCACTATATCTGCTCTCCCCGGACCATTCATTCACTATATCCGCTCTCCCCGGACCCTTCATTCACTATATCCGCTCTCCCCGGACCCTTCATTCACTATATCCGCTCTCCCAGGACCCTGCATTCACTATATCCGGTCTCCCGGACCCTGCATTCACTATATCTGGTCTCCCCAGACTCTGCAGTCACTATATCTGGTCTCCCTGGATCCCGCGTTCACTATATCCGCTCTCCCCGGACCCTGCATTCACTATATCCGGTCTCCCCGGACCCTGCATTCACTATATCCGCTCTCCCCGGACCCTGCATTCACTATATCTGCTCTCCCCGGACCCCGCATTCACTATATCCGGTCTCCCACAGTACACACAACATGGAAATGCAATTATTTTAGTAAATATAAATTGCTAAATACCTTTTCTCATCAGCAGTTCCAGCAGTCTTGTGACTTCTATCAGTGTCCAACTGAGCACTGGTTAAAGCTTGTAGAAGGAGTTTTCTTTACGCTCTAGGAGGATGCAGAACCCCTGACCCTCTGTCTGGACAGCGCTCATTGGTCTTGTGCTGATCACATGCACTCTCCCATGAAAAAAAAAACCCTTTCTAGCAATACACACCAAACTGAGCATGTGCATGTGACTACGGATTCAGTCTGTATCAGGTGGTCATTTCAACAAGAGGAGGATCAGAGAAGACAGGATCAAACATCCTTTTTTACACAATGCAGAGGATTAACCCCTTAGGTTCCACAGTGGGTATAACAAGCATGCTTTACTGCATCTACAGACTGATTGTACTGTTGTGGGTTTAGTAACACTTTAAGTCAGGGGTATCAAACTGGCAGCCCTCCAGCTGTTGCGAAACTACAAGTCCCATCATGCCTCTGCCTTTGGGAGTCATGCTTGTAACTGTCAGTCTTGCAATGCCTCATGGGACTTGTAGTTTGGAAACAGCCGGAGGGCCGCCGATTTGACACCCGTGCTTTCAGTGGTTAACTTCAATCTGAAGCTGTCCCCTGCACTACCTACACTCTGCCACTAGATGTCCTTGTAACTCCAGGTGGACAGCCAGGGTGGGTTGAATGACACTGGCTGACATTCAACCTGGAATTATGAGGACATCTAGTGGCAGAGTATATGTAATACAGTGGGCAGCATCACATTGAAGATGTGCTTTTTTAAACTTTTATTTTATTGAAAAACATGTTAAGTGGAGTTCGGCCATATAAAGGAGTCACAGAATTGTACATCAATTCTCATGGCAAAGCAATAATCCCTGTCTGGCTCCCCCCCCCCCCCCCCTTGTGTGTTCTGGAATCCATTTTCTCCATCTCCCGACATTAAACCATCGTGTTTTACAGAAGGGGCCTGCAGCACTTAACTGATACACGGATTTGATGAAGTCTCTTTAATGTCTCGTTTTATGGAGATATTTCGACAGAAAAAGCGGACCCCGGCTAATTTTTCCCGTGATTTGAGCATCACAGCAGACAGATGGCCGCCTCGTCTACAAATGAAGCCTTTTGATCCCTAATCACGATAAAACTCAGCTAATGTAACTGCCGATCAGACGCCATTTAGCTTAAAAGCGGATCGCGGGCAGCGCATCAAACACGCATTAAAATCTGCTTTGCTAAAAGCCGCCGCTGACTTACCCGGCCCCAGGAATGGCAGGAAAAGCAAGGCAAAGCAATTGTACAAAATCCTCTGATTTTTTTTTTTTTTTTTAAAGCGCGCAGACATTAAGATGCAATTAGGCCGCGCTGCACCAGGTCAGGTGGGGGAGGGAGGGGGGCCAGGATAATTAATCTTAGCTTTCTAATTAAGGGCATCTAAATGATTAGAAAATTGCAGAACGATAATCGATAAGGTGACGGCTCACTGCTGTTGTTGATTGCAGAAAGCCGAAGCTGTTCTGTCTGATGCCAGCACTTCACGCCGATGGTAATTTTCTGTGTTTAATCAAAAAGAAACACACGTTTTCTTTCAACATTAATCATAAAGCTGAACTCTCGTTAAAACCCATCTAAAGCCAAAAGGTTGGCTTTTTCCGTTTTTGCATTGAGTGCTCATGAAGATTATTTAGAGTGTGTGAATGGAAAGGTCTTAAAAATTCGAGCAGGTTGAAGTATTAGTGTATGCCATAAAAACAATATCTTCACAGACTTGAAGGGACCTATTCTGAGGACCTTCCATGACTTAAGCCACCTACTCAAGGTCTAACTTGTAGTGGTTAGATACCTTCCTCCTTCCATCAGTGCACCTCATGTCAATTGCAGAAAGCCAAAGCTGTTCTGTCTGATGCTAGTACTTCACACTGATGGTAATTTTCTGTGTTTAATCAAAAAGAAACACACATTTTCTTTCAAATTTATTCATAAAGTTGAACTCTCCTTAAAACCTATGTAAAGCCAAAAGATTGGCTTTTTGGGTTATTGCATTGCGTGCTTGTGAAGATTATATAGAGTGTGTGAATGGAAAGTCTTGGAAACTCCAGTAGGTTAGTGTACAATATCTTCACAGGCTTTTAGGGACCTATTTTGAGGACCTTCCATGACTTAAGCCACCTACTCAAGGTCTAACTTGTAGCGGTTACGTACCTTCCTCCTTCCATCAGTGCACATCATGTCAATTGCAGAAAGCCAAAGCTGTTCTGTCTGATGCTAGCACTTCACGCCGATGGTAATTTTCTGTGTTTAATCGAAAAAGAAACACACGTTTTCTTTCAACATTAAACATAAAGCTGAACTCTCGTTAAAACCCATCTACAGCCAAAAGGTTGGCTTTTCCGTTTTTGCATTGAGTGCTCGTGAAGACTATTTCGATGGTTAGGAGCACCGTGTGTGAATGGAAAGTCTTGGAAACTCCAGCAGGTTGAAGTGTTAGTGTATGCCATAAAACAATATCTTCACAGGCTTTTAGGGTCCTCTGAGGACCTTCCATGACTTGAGCCACCTACTCAAGGTCTAACTTGTAGCAGTTACGTACCTTCCTCCTTCCATCAGTGCACCTCATGTCAACTGCAGAAAGCCAAAGCTGTTCTGTCTGATGCTAGTACTTCACGCCGATGGTAATTTTCTGTGTTTAATCGAAAAGAAACGCACATTTTCTTTCAACTTTATTCATAAAGCTGAACTCTCCTTAAAACCTATGTAAAGCCAAAAGATTGGCTTTTTGGGTTATTGCATTGAGTGCTTGTGAAGATTATATAGAGTGTGTGAATGGAAAGTCTTGGAAACTCCAGTAGGTTAGTGTACAATATCTTCACAGGCTTTTAGGGACCTATTCTGAGGACCTTCCATGACTTGAGCCACCTACTCAAGGTCTAACTTGTAGTGGTTAGATACCTTCCTCCTTCCATCAGTGCACCTCATGTCAATTGCAGAAAGCCAAAGCTGTTCTGCCTCATGCTAGTACTTCACACCGATGGTTGTTTTTTGTGTTTAATCGAAAAGAAACGCACATTTTCTTTCAACATTAACCATAAAGCTGAACTCTCGTTAAAATCTATCTAAAGCCAAAAGGTTGGCTTTTTCCGTTTTTGCATTGAGTGCTTGTGAAGATTATTTAGAGTGTGTGAATGGAAAGTCTTAAAAATTCCAGCAGGTTGAAGTATTTGTGTATGACATAAAAACAATATCTTCACAGGCTTGAAGGGACCTATTCTGAGGACCTTCCATGACTTGATCCACCTACTCAAGGTCTAACTTGTAGCGGTTACGTACCTTCCTCCTTCCATCAGTGCACCTCATGTCAATTGCAGAAAGCCAAAGCTGTTCTGTCTGATGCTAGCACTTCACGCCGATGGTAATTTTCTGTGTTTAATCGAAAAAGAAACACACGTTTTCTTTCAACATTAAACATAAAGCTGAACTCTCGTTAAAACCCATCTAAAGCCAAAAGGTTGGCTTTTCCGTTTTTGCATTGAGTGCTCGTGAAGACTATTTCAATGGTTAGGAGCACCGTGTGTGAATGGAAAGTCTTGGAAACTCCAGCAGGTTGAAGTGTTAGTGTATGCCATAAAACAATATCTTCACAGGCTTTTAAGGTCCTCTGAGGACCTTCCATGACTTAAGCCACCTACTCAAGGTCTAACTTGAAGCAGTTACGTACCTTCCTCCTTCCATCAGTG